GTATGGTGTGAAGCCTAGCTTAAGTCATCTGAAGGTATTTGGATCTATTTCACATAGACATGTGCCAGATCAGTTGAGAAGAAAACTTGATGACAAGTCAAGTCAAATGATCCTAGTTGGATATCATTCGACAGGAGGCTACAAGTTGTTCGATCCAGAGAACAAGAAGATTGTGATCAGCAGGGACGTGATCATAGACGAGTTTAAAGAATGGGATTGGACTGCAAATGTCAAGAAAGATTCAGTGGGAATCTTATTCGAAGAGCCAGAAACTCAAGTCAAAAGAGAAGTTCAACAAGAGGAACCAGCAGATATACCAAGTACAAGCAGGCCTCATAAAACAAGACGCATGCCTTCAAGATTGCAAGATTGTGTGATTACATCAGATGATGTAATAAATGATGAAGGTGAGCTGGTACATTATGCTTTCTATGCAGATGTCGAACCTGTTAATGCAGCTGAAGCATTAAAGGATTCGAAGTGGGTGAAAGCAATGAACGAAGAAGTAAAGTCTATTGAAGACAACAACACTTGGTCACTTGTCGAATTGCATCAAGGCAAGAAGGAAATTGATGTCAAGTGGGTATACAAAGTGAAGACGAATTCGAAAGGTGAAGTAACTCGACACAAAGCAAGACTTATGGCGAAAGGATTTCTACAGAAAGAAGGAATAGACTTCGACGAAGTCTTTGCACCTGTTGCTAGGATCAAAACAATAAGGCTGGTTATTGGTCTAGCAGAAATCAACAGTTGGCACATATGTCAGATGGACGTGAAGTGTGCAATCCTAAATGAACCCTTAGATGAAGAAGTCTATGTTAAACAACCAGTTGAGTTTGTGAAACATGACGAAGAAAGAAAGGTGTACATGTTACATAAAGCCCTGTATGGATTGAAACAAGCTCCAAGGGCTTGGAATAAGAAAATTGATAGTTTTCTAAGGGAGAAGGAATTTGTGAAGTGCATAACTGAACATGGAGTATATGTAAGAAGAAGCAAGAGTAGATTGCTTATACTATGTCTCTATGTAGATGATTTGTTGATAACAGGTAGCTGCAAAAGTGAGATCGAAGACTTCAAAGTTGATCTTAGCAAGGAATTCGAAATGTCTGATTTGGGTGAGATTTCATATTTCCTTGGTATCGAATTCTACAAGAGCAGTAGAGGTTTGATGATGCATCAAAGAAGATATGCAGGAGAAATTCTCAAGAGGTTTGAGATGGAAGAATGCAACTCAACTTCGACACCTGCAGAACCAAGACTGCAACTGTCGAAAGATGTAGATGAAGATGATGTTGATCCAACCCAATACAGAAGACTTATTGGATCATTGAGATACCTTTGTCATACAAGGCCTGACTTAGCATACATTGTAGGTATGGTAAGTAGATTCATGCAGAAGCCAAAGGTATCACATCTAGCAGCAGTGAAGAGGATACTAAGGTATCTCAAAGGAACTTTCGATTATGAAATTTTGTTTCCTGCAGTTGATAAAAGAAAAGAATGCAAGTTAGTGGGATACACTGATTCGAGTTGGTGTAGTGATGCTGAAGATCGAAAGTCAACAGCAGGATATGTGTTTATGCTAGGTGGTGCAACAATTGCTTGGAATTCGAGAAAAGAACCAGTAGTGGCATTATCATCATGCGAAGCAGAATACATAGCTGCTTCTCTTTGTGCATGTCAAGCAACCTGGATGGTGAACTTGGTCGAAGAGATAACAGGGAAAGATCATGGAGCAATTACCATGAAGATAGACAGCATGTCAGCTATTAATCTGGCAAAGAACCCAATAGCACATGATCGAAGTAAGCACATCGAAATGAGGTTCCATTATCTTCGAGAGCAGGTAGCAGATGGGAAGATGAATTTGGAACACTGCAGAACTGAGAATCAGATTGCAGACATCATGACGAAGGAGGTGCAAGTCGAAGTATTCAGAAAACTAAGGGCCATGATGAACATAGACAGTTTAGACACAATGAATTAGGTGGTGTGTTAAATTGTAATTCATATGTGTCAAAATTAGATTTGATTTTGTTTTAGATTTAAATAGATTTAAATTTAAGTCTAGAATAGATTTGATTAGATTTGATTTAGTAAAAAGATATTTTGGGCTTGAGTTTTAGCTTAGGGAGCAAGCTAACCTAAATCTATAAATAGAGGGAGTAACCCCTATTTTGTAATCAAGTCATCCACAGTATTTTGCAGTTGCAAAGTGAATAATAAAATTTCCACAGTTTGTGGGCAGAGAGAAACTCTGCAGAAATATCTCTATTGTCTTTTCTTTGTTTGTCTCATAACTAATCATCAGTGGTGGTCGAAATTCATCATAGAGTATTGGTGGATTTCCAACAAGCAGCATATCATAAATTTCATGAGATCTGTGATAATTTATTTTCATAGTTTAGAATGGAATTGCTAATACATATGGGATAATAGGAATTGCTATCACATCTGCATAATAATGATCTTATACATTTTGAATTTGTTAAAATATTTTTTTATAATGGAAAATCCACAGCAAAAATAGAAGTCAGCTTCATCCACAAGAGAATCATCGCAGAAAAGTTAAAAGGACATATACTGGCACAAACACCAATTGACTCTTTAATGCTGAAAGTATCAATTCCATTTGCCACATTAGAATCATACTCTTCCTTCTGTAAAAGTTGCCATCCTCAAACACTTACAAAGCCAAAAGCATCCATCAATACCATGAACATTAATCATCAATACAACATTATGCCACCGTTGAAAAAAATATACTGCTGTCAAAAGATTACTGTATTACCTCTTTGCACCAATCCAAGTAGCAAAATCCTACTCCAACCATTCATCTATGACCATTCCAAAAAGATCTATCAAATCTGATAAATATTGTATCATAAAAATCGACAAAATCAATCTACCATAAAGAAATTATTGTATCAATGGCCTATGATACGCCAAGTTCTCTCCTAGTGCAGTCCTCATTCCAATGATACAGTCTACCATAACCTATAAAGAAGTCATATATCTTGGTCAACACTAAGTGAAACCATTGATTCCAATCTCTTCAACAAAAACCTTTGCAGCTTCAATTACTTTTATTCCCGTCATCATAAGCAAACAAAATCCAAACAGATGCAAGAACCAAAAACCAACAAAGACCGCGACATACCACCAATTAAAGGAAAGATCTCTCAGTATATAATATTGAGTCAAATAAAACTCAAAGCAACTGCTATACATACTATGCTTCTAGATACAATATATCCTAAGGTATTAATATTGATGAACAATTATTTATTTATTTATGCCTAAACAATTTATCTACTCTATCCTTTTACCCTTCTTAATAATTTTTTATTATAACATTTATATAGTACTTTTTTAAAATATGAAGATTTTGTGGCAACTATCATTTTAGTAAAGTGTATCGTCCACCTATTATAGATTTGTTCTATCTTTTTGTAATAATAAAAAACACTCATTTGATGTTGGGACCATTTGTTAACATGTGAGCTATTGAACTAAATTATTTTTGGATATTTGTCCTATTTTTCATTGGCATTTTCCTTATCATATATAAGTAGTACACTATAGTTTCAATTTAATCCATAGTTGTAACATCTCATATCTATATGTTAGGATCAATTTTATTATTGGTCTATTAGGACCTTATTTTGTTCCTATCTTCCAAAAATATGTAAATATATAGTTGTTGCATTCTAAAATTTACTCTCTTGATTTCAGAATTTTTATGACTTATGTTTCATCATGTACATTCATGCATTTGTGACGGGATTAATGTATTCTTATCTTTCAGATTTTTCTTCAAGCCGTGGAATTCGGTTGTATTGTCAATTAGTATCAAGGAGGTCTTTATATCCTCTCTCTCATATAACAGGTTGTCACGGCTTCTCAGGCCTCGTGATATCCAATTGATTCTTTGTGTCGTTAGAGAATTGAAAAATTTGCAAGTATCTTGATCTTGAATCATGTTTCTCCCATCTATTGGCTCTTGTGCTAGGATTGTTGATTTTTGAATTTGCGACGTCTTTCTTGACAAAATCTCGGAAGCATTATCATCCTGAATTTTATCTCAGCGCATGTTTAATCATCAACAGAGGTTCATTGGACTTAAGATTTTTATGGTCACTTTTATTTCCACATTTTAAGGCATGTTTCATTTTTCTGAGAGCTTGAGGCATTGATGTTTCGTGGACCATTGAGGCCATAGCGCAAGAGATGATGTATGGACTCATTTTTTGATCGAGACAATCTCATCATTGTAAGTTGAAAGGAATTGAGTTAGAGGTTTATTGAAGTGGCACGTGTATTCGGTTTTGTTCATTTCAAGATTAAGTTCATGTGAATTAATTTCATTTGTTCATGGTGCAAGATTCATTTGATCTTATTTCACAAAGTCTAATTTCAAACTAGTGTTCAAGGCATACTTTCAGAATTCAAAATCCATTCATCACCATCATTCATCAATTTTTTTCTACCATTTATAAGTCCATTCAAGTTTGGTACAAATAGTGTCATCATCCAAAAACCATTCCAATTCATGAAGGCATTTTATCAAAATTATTCAAATTCTACAAGTTCACAAAAAGTTGCAAAGATCTTATGCTTTCAAATACACATTTCACTCAAAGTTTCTCAAAAAATTAATGTGTTACAAAAGCATTCAAATTCATAAGTCCTAAATTTGCTAATGAGGTCTTCATATTCACTTCTTCAAGTTCCCTCCAAGACTCATTCTTCTTCAATCTTCAAGCTCGCCATAGCCATTGCCTCAACTTCATCTTAAAGTGGTTCTCTCATCCTTCTTCGAGCATTCTCCATTGCTTCTTTTTCATACTCATCCATCAAGTTCATGAAACAAGAAACTTGACATTAGTTAGCAATCATCAATAACTTTGAACAAAAGAAGAAAGTTTTCTAAGAGTTTCCAAATTTCATCATTAGGGTTTTGCTTAAGGAATCAGATTTTAGGGTGTTTTCAAATCATGTTCAAAGCAATACAAAGCCTCGTTTTATATGGACATAATCAGATTGTGGGTTTAATCATAAGCCAACAAGAAGAAATTCATCTATGGAAAATCACAAATAAAGATTGGTTCACAAAAGACAAATTGAGAAGAGACAAAGATTCAAAAATCAGAATTATCACAGCCCAAGCACAACTCAACAAGTCAGAATATCATGAATTCAAGCCCAACGGAAGCCTCATTATTTTGCAAATCAGAATTTCAATACATAATCATGGCCAAGTTTCATCTCTACTACAAATCATAAATTTAATTTGGTCCACAGTAAGACAAAATCAAAGAGATCCAAATCAGAATTACAAACTCAGAAAAAAGGCTCATCACAGTTCTGGCCCAACATAACAAGAAACAACATTGCAAAACCAGTCCAACAACACAGTTGTGCACACTAGTAAAAATCACAAGTCAAAATTCATGTTCAGCCCATTCAAACAAAATTCAACATAAACTTAGAACATACAATACGTCATTTCAAGTAAGTAGAAGTTACTCATGAAGTCAGGCCATTTCGGTTCAGCAGAAAGTACAGAGGAAAATAATACTGGTCCAGAAAATAAAATCAAAAACTAAATAAAGGAATTGCATTCGTTCAGCTCCGTGTCGAGACCGTTCATCGTATGTTCACATAATAAAATTCAGAAGATATATCAGTTCACATAAACCAAGTTCATCTAGCATGGTTAAATCAGGTTGCAGCTTACATTCAAAATACCAAAGCCAGAAAATATAAAGAAAGGAAATGGTGAAACAGAAAAATAACAAATCAAGTCCCAACTAAACTCAGTTCCAGCATAACAGAAAAATCAACAACTTCTAACTAACTTCAAAATCCTATAACTACCTAGTCCTTACACTAATAGAAAGAACTAACTAAAATCATTACCATCCATCTCTAACTGAAATCCAAAAATCAAGGGCCAAGATTAACTTGACCTGTAACTAACTTTCTCCATTCGGAACTGCATATGTAAGCCTTCATTCATCTGGAATTAGGGGAGAACGATTCATTCTTCAGCATTCGGAAGAATCACCACAAAAACCAGAAAAAACTCTTTGCAACCTTCATTCTTCCCCATCATCGATCTTCGACCTTCTCTCTGCACTTCTCAGAGAGCTTGCCTCTGCACCTCCATCAAATCTTCATCATCACCATTCTGGTTTTATAACTGCAACCTTCATGCACGTTATCCACCTTCTACATCAGTAATTTGCGCCAGCCTTCAACAATCATTCATAATTCGAAAGAACAATCATCAAAAACGCATAAATAAATTTCCGGATCGCACAAACGCGAAGAAGAAAACAGAAATGGTAAGAAGAAGGTGAGATCAAATCTTACTCGGTGTTCTTAAATTCTGATTCTCTCTTTGTCACTGTGATTGATCGGCCTCCGTTCACGAGAGAGAAAAAGCTTCCCTTGAAGTTGAATCGTCACTTCGCAAAAGCCCTATTCCTCTTTCAATTATTTTTATTTTCTTTTATTTTCTTGTGATAAATGATAAAAAAAACTAAAGGATAAATTCATTTTTTTGTTTGAATTAGAATGAGGTAGGTTGTTATGTCATGGTGAGGAACTGGGCCGAACCATACATTCCTTTTAGGCTCGTTTCTGTACGTTTTTTACACTACAAGTTTTGGAAGTTGCAACAATAATAGCTTATGGATATTACTGCATGGTCCTGGCGCCCAGACTGCTACAATACCACCTGATCCGATTTTCACACCCCATGTTCATTGTTTTTTTAGATTTTTTTCTTTAATTCTTTTTTTTATCAAGTTTTGCTAATAAAAAGTAGTGATAGAAATAATAGAAAAAACAATAAAAGGTAATATAATAGAATTTTTCTAAGATTTCTTTTTTTAGAATTTTGATTAAATTTTTTTATTATTGATTATGTTTAGTAATCATTTTGTTACCAAGGTTTCGTGACTTACCTTTACTTGTCGAGATCTGAGTCTTATATAGGTTTATTGTGTGATATTCATATATGCTTGGCGCACCTTCGGCTTGTGATTTATTTTCACATCGATGATGCTTCGACACTTATTCCAAGCATTTGATTTCTGACTCTTTTCTTTGATTGGTGAAGCTTTCGTGAAGATCATCGAGTTTCTTTGTTTTGATGCGCTTTGCTACAGATTGATATCCGTGTGGTATTTTCTCTTGTTTATCTCGTTTCAGAATTTTAATTCTTTCTAGATATCATGAGAAGTAGGAAATAAAGAGCGTGCGCTCGAAGTCGATGTTTAAAGTCCTGTAGAAGGCACCCCTTTTGTATGTTATATGTGTTTGTTCAAAATTCTACCTTTGAAGTAGGTATTCTGCATGTGTGTTTACATTTGTGTCCGTATATATCACAGGTAATAATTCCTCAAAAGGAGGCAAGCGGAGAGGGTTAGTAGCCAACCCCTACACATTCTAGTCCGTTTCATCCTTAGCTCACGTTGTACGTCGATGCTTCAGAGTCGTGCAGATCACATGTATCGAGTCGCTTATGTGGAGAAGGATTCGCAACCAACCCCCACACTTTGTCAGAAGTTCGCAATGGCCATTGCTGATACTTTGCTACCCGCTTGTTTGCTTCGGGTGATCTGCTCCCATTAGCTAAAGCATTTCTTTTCTTTTTTATTTCATTTGTCTCCCGCTTGTTTGCTTCGGGTGATTCGCTCCCCTTAGCTAAAGCATTTCTCTTGTTTCCCCATCCCTTTGAGACAGTTTGTGTTACTCATGTTTGTGTACTTTTGCCAAAGCACTTGTTTGCTTATTTGTTGCTATACCATGTTTCTCTTAGGATCACTCGATTAGAGTAGCTTTCGAGCTAGACATTAGGATAGGTATTCGTGCATGTTAACATAGGGTAGAGATTTCCCTTTCAAAACTCAACCTTAGGGCCAATCATTGTATGATAACATTAGGGATAAAACTAGATAATCTCTCTTAGATGTTTTTTCTTTCTTTTGCATCCTTGCATTAAGACTTAAACTCTTTTTCTTGGAAAATCATAAAACACCTAACAACTTTCAAATCCTTTTTCAAGGTAAAAAACATCAACCAATGTAAATTCTTTTGCGCCTTCGGGCCTTTCTTTCAAACTTTTTCAAAAGAACATGTTAATTCACTTTTGTGATGACGCGTGAGTCTTCAAAGGTCCACCCACGGAAGAAGGCGAAATTAATATTGTTTATTAAAAAACACAAAACAAATCAAAACATGTGAGTCGAACTATGGATACTCTGATTCTTTAAAAGGGATACGTAGGTATTGGGGTAGGGCCCGAACGAGCGCAACTTTATTTTCCCTACATTATTTTCTCTTTTCTTTTGCATGCATTCCCTATTTACATTTTATTTTAGCTCGTAAGCATAGATTTGAAACACACCCTTTGATTAGAACAACATGAGTGGATATCATAGAGTACTACGGACGTGTAGAGTGCTAATATCTTCCCCTCGCGTAACAGACTTCCTTACCCGATCTCTCAGTCGTTTCTTACAGGACCTCTGAGTGTATCAATCCAGAACTTCTGACGCTTCCTTCTGAACCACAGTGCACCCGACATCAGAGCTTCTGATCCCCTTTGTTTTGCTTTCAGCAACATGCTAATTCTATCTCTCACTATTTCCCTCTTTTATCATTTTCAATATTAATACCTCTTTTTATTATATAAAAAAGACATAAAAATATTTTCTTTTTATTTATTCATTAAGACAAAAAAACCATTTTTCAAAACAAATCCTTTTTCTTTCTTGCATGGTAAATTTCAATATGGTTGTAATAGTTAAATAGGATTCAAATTCTTATAACCCCCCATGTGTAAATGTGTACCCCCATCCCTAAATATTGTAATAGCGTAAGACTTTATATTTCCGTAATTTATCGCTTTTCAAATGTAATGCTAGTAATTAGGGCGTGTATAGAAAGACATGAAATCAACAAATAGATAACCCTAATTAAGACTAAATGCATGCAATCAGACACATCTTGCACATATGCACACCTTAGGGTAATCTCACTTGTTTCTTATCGGAAAAATAGTCATGTCCCTCGAACATGGGCATTTTAGAAAAGACCCTCGATAAAATATCGTAGTCCCTCATACACCAAACATGTTATCAAGTCTCACAATACATACATCAAAATATGATCAAAATAAAGGATTATATACAAGTATAATCCATCCACAAAATAAGAGTTTGAATGCGGACACTAAACCCCCAAGTGTTACAATGAGAGCATCGACTCAATAATCAAAACATAACGGACTACAAGCCTAAATGCATCCGCTAATCCTTGTGCCTCGCACTACCATCTCTGGTACCTGAGCGATGCCGTATCAAGCATCATTCCAACAGAAGGGTGAGAATTCCAATAATCATGAAATATATAATTTAAAACAATGGAAAACAATAAATAAAAGGAATTCTCCATACTTGAATATATGTGTATATCACTAACATAAGCACATTCATACATTCTATATTCCGCTATATTCAAGAATTATCTCTTTAACCATTTATCATCCTAACCATATAATCACACTCATTCACACATCATAACCAATTTCACAAACTCAATCATCTTCACATAAACTCATAATATATATCATTATGCATGTGACTCACAACTCGATGCAACCAATGCAAATGCGGTACCGACTTGTGGACCCAAAGTTTCACCGCTTATTTTTCAACATAGGATCAAAGCCACTACGTCTATTTCCACTATAGGATCAACGTCTATTTTTTTTGTGAACCCAAGTTTCACCGCCTATGTTCCCTTTCCGGGTCAAATCCACTACGTCTATTTATGTTCAAGGATCAACGTCTATAAAATGTGAACCCACCGTTTCACCGTCTATATTTCAAGACCAACCATGCCATGCAATGAACAATCAACAACTCTTATACAATTAAGACCACTTCCGACCTTAACATACACATACCACATATTCCAACACAATGAAATACCAACAATTGTACATGCATTGCAAATATAATTCACAAATCAAGTAACATACAAGTTTAAAACAATGTTACTTCCATGATTTATTCAAATCAAACACAATTCTGGTTAGCCCTTGAAAATGTCGAAATCTCAAAAAATAACTCAACCATAATTACCTACGCATTTAACTTAGTTACCCCGTCAAATTTTGTTAATTTCCGGATAACTAATTTTTACCGCCTATACCGGCAAATTAGAAACAAACACAATTCTGATTAGCCCTTGAAAACGTCAAAATCTCAAAAAATAACTCAACCATAATTACCTACGCATTTAACTTAATTCGACTTCACCTGCAAAATTCACATTTTTCAACAAAAATGCCACCCAACATATC